ACAGAAGTACGTGGCTTTACTTTATGCCATAAATATGTACGAACCGGAATTCAGGGAGCAAATGGCCGCAGCACGTTGCATACTAAATGTGCTAAGTTCGCAGTAAGCTAGTGGAAAATACATAATGGTAAATCAGAATCTCTGTGGTGCTGCGAGGTATGTATGGTTATTCCACTGGGAAAAATTGCGCATAAAATAGCGCATACTCCCGAAAGTCTAGTGGTAATCATTGAACAAATGTAGAAAAACAAATTTGATTTTTTTAAGGAAAGTTTGATAGTGAGCAACCATTATGGCTTTCTATTAGGATCCGCTCCAAGACAACGGATGAATGCTGGGCAAAACAACAAAACGCATCAACGGGACTAGCTGACCAAATAGGTCTAAAACAATGACCTCCAGCCCTATGGGAATAAGTAGGTCGGGACCTCATTCACAAATCAAATTCCTCACAAATCTAGAAGGATACCATATTGTTGTTGGTTCGCACAGGATTCCTGTCACAACCGAATGGAAACCAAGCTCCTCTGTTACTTCACAGAGCCTAAAGCAACTGAGGAAAGCGAAGTTATACTTCCACAACCTCTACCGGTTGTATGCAGACAAGATGGACGGCAGACATTTATTTGAGCTACACACTTGACCATTAATAACCTGCACCAACGTTCCAGACTCAACATCAAATTAGTTAAAAGGAAAACAACTGGATGATGTGAACCAGTGGAACTCCATACTGACATCATATGTGTCGCAGTTAAGCCCGCCAAATTGACGCGGATCACGTGGCACACAAATCCACAGCACTAAGTTACACCGTTTCACCGTATTTTATTGACTTCCACTGGTGAAGCAGCAGCTATCTTGTTATCGACACCGCTCCTTCAAAATGCATCAAGTTACTTCCGCATGTGCCTGGCTATACCGTGGAACGAGCGCAAACAGACGAAGCGTGGCTTGGAAGAACACCGAACAGATCCTGTGGTTAGGATCATCCTTTTACACATTGTTCTCGAGGCTGAAGTTCAAGAAGAGCCGAATAGACCGCCCAAGAAAAACAGCAGTGACAGTCGATTTGAGAGACCATGTCCCTTTGAAAGGTCATAACGCAGTCGATCTCGATAGTACGCATGTCGCCAAATTAAAAAGAAAATGGCCAGAGGATTGTGAAAGGGGTGAAACAATTCAGACAAATGTCAACGTTGGTGCTAGAGAGCTGTTATGCCTGCAGTAGCGACATTCCTTCAGAGCTCCGGATCAAAGCAGCTTTCCCTAAGAAAACAGACGAAACCGCCATTTAGTCGAACCACCAAGAAGTAACACTTCGGAGAACATTACTCAGCCAACGAATAAAACTGGCAAACACCCCATGCAACACATCTAAAGTGTAGAGCCTATAGGTAATAGCGGGATCCCTGGGTCTGGCACGCATTTGTTTCTCTTCAGCCCGCCCAAAGAAACCTTCTTTTGCAGAACATTCAACGGCCGGCACAACACCCTACCCAAAATAGTTCCCACGACACATTGCTAAGTATAGTGAAACTTTCGTATGTGTACACTAATGCACAAGGTATTCTGAGCAAGGTTGCCGAACTGCGTCTACCTCCAGCTACCGCATACAGAAGCGATCACTCTAGTAAAGCCGAAGGGTAACATTTTAATATCTTAACAACCTGCTGTGCGTACCGGTGGACGATCCTAAATTCTGCTCGTAGACTTGCTCTGAAGTAGGCTGTTGTAACTGCGCAATGAGACCTGTGTTAAGTAGTTGGTTATCTTCCCCAATATACTCCCCAGAGATGGACTTTCGCTTGACATTACTATTTCGAAGGGTAATTTGACGTCAATACAGCTAAGTTCTTAGGGCCATTGAGATCAATGCTCACGAATTAAAGGTTCAGGTTCTCCCAACGAACAATTCAACGCATATCTGCATGAGTTTATTGCAAGCGGTCCGCATTTTATCTATGTCAGTTAGCCTAGCAGATACAGAGTGGAAATAAGCCATCTTTGCTTGATTTAGTGTTAACGAACGAAGAGCGCATGAATGAAAAACCAATGATGGAGAGCCCTGTGAGGCGAAGTGATCACGTAAAAGTACTTACGACTATGTGCGTTATGCGGAATATCCACAAGACTATGGTGACTAGTTTCAAACAATCACACGCTATGATACACACATAAATTGTTGAGATATCACTTGGGGATTTTTCGGACAAATGCCTCATTTATAATGCATGGACAGATTTTCCTAGCAATTTCGGCGGCTTACTTAAGTTTTCATCTATAAACAGGCCTATTTTTCTACAAGAACACCAGCAATCATTTCGAACATAACCCGAAAACTCATGGAGTTAAGAGACGCAGGCTGGAATGGGCATAGGACGAAAGCTAACACTGATAACTAGCTACTATAGTGTTCGTCGTAATAACTGTACCACACATGTAAGTGTGGATAAATTAATTCACCAGAAGAGCCTAGCAGAAAGATTTTGTTCTAACACGAAGCTTCTGTACAATTTTCAAATGCTCTTCGGAATATGAAGTGTGGTGTTCCCTCACTTACCTCTACAAATGGATGCGTTCAAACTGCCGTTGATGCAACCAACGACCTACGGCTGCAATATACTTCAATATTTCAATGCGCTACCAGCATATGTCACATAGCAGTCCCATTACTCCAGCCGCCAATATTCACACAGATTACTTTTAGCTCGGCAACCGTTTGGAGAAAGCTGATATCGTTTCGCACCTATAGTTTCCCCGGTGTTTAAAACATCCCCAAAAAATCCCTTCTAGTGGCAATGCCGAGGACACATGAGCTATTAGCTCGATTTTTCTAAAATATTCCTGCATTAACAGCAGGTCCCCAACAGCGGAAGCCGGGCATCCTGTCCACAATTTTCAAGGGTGGTAGCCTCTTGGAGCACGTCAACTATCGCGCAGTGATTCATCTCCCGATATTCTCAAAGGTGATGGAGCAAATCATAGTTGAGACTCCAATGGGCTATTCTGAAAGTTCTAATCTCATAGCACAGAAACAACACGGATTCTGTTGACATCAGCCGATGACTACCAACTTACTGCTTGCCCGTGGCAGTTGGACCGAAATAGCTGAGTGTAGGACCGGTATTGATGTCCTCTACCTAGAATTTTCCAAAGCATTCGACCGCTTAGATCTTCGAATCCTTTACAAAACCTGCAAGCATATGACATCGAGAACCAAGTTTTTGTATGAATAGGACATATCCTGCTTCAGCTGAGACTACAGGTTTGGAGTAGTGGTTCACTTTCTGATCCTATAGACCTAGAATGCGGTGTCGCACAGGGGTCGACATTAAGGCCGCGCCTATTCGCTAACTTGCTTAAAGTCTTCAGGCTTCATCGAGTCGAACTTTTTGCTTTCTGCCAAAGACCTAAAGCATGGTGGGCGATCGGTTGTCAGAACGATCACGATGTGTTGCAGAAACGTAGACAGTGATTTGAATGTTCAAAGGCAAATCTATTTCCATGTGACGCGGACGTGTGCAAGTCTGTACATGTAGGCTAAAAGCCAAATTGCGCAGTTAAGCTTAGAGAGACCACATGCTAAAAATCTGCCTTACAGGAGCGCGATCTTGTGGTGAGGATGCAAAATGACCTCGACTGTACCGCGCCGTATTTTTAGGTCTACAATATCTATAACAAACACATGGGTGGTACGGAGCGCGCTCTGGCAGTTCGACCCCTCCAACTTCCCCAAAATGCTAGATGCGTATGTGAAACCCCAAGATGATTACCCGATTCTGAATTGGCAGCCCTGGTTAAAACGCGAGCTGGTTGCACAGCATGTTAACAGTGAAGGGCAATCAAGAATGTGAAAGTAATTTGCCACCTTGAATCTCATCTGCGACTGAAAATTGTAGGAGTGGGCAGCAGATGTTGTCGCTGTCTACGATGCGACCTCAGTCTGGCAAACCAGATATTGAAAACCCGATCACACTTGCGGCCACCTTCTGAAACAGCCACTAAACAAAAGTAAAGGTTCACTAACTGAAACTAGCTACACAAAAAATCAGCTGAAATGCCACCGAAACGTTTTCCTTCTTCGAATTTGTCACCCTTAAAATGCTATTTCGACTTATGTCACATGAATTACTTCACATGCATTACCCGATTTGGTTTCTGTTCCTTGCGTGACAACGGGATGTAGAAAGACTCTGCGCTCTCCTGCCTTCATGAACTCGATATAGGACATATATGCGTGTGTAAACGGATACACATACGTGTTATGGAAGGTAAGGTGACTTAAGGTAAGTTTACACTTACGAATTCCTCAGCGAGTCCACCAGTGTGAACCTAAATTTGCTGAAACGTTTTCCTATACTTGTATTTTTCACTACGATCATCCTGCTGGATATGTTAAAGTGTATCTCTTTTACTGGCATAAAACCATAGCTCCATTGTTCTATTAGGATCCCTACATCCGTTCAGGGGCTTCTGTGTCCCACCTTCCAACATTGAAAACACGGCAAATGTTCTCCACTTGACAAGCCAAACAAAGAGTACCGGTTGTTGGGTATTGGCTTCGAGTGGAGCAACACCAAATTACCTTATACGTTAATAGGTTACTTTCTAGTTGGTTGTGATTCGGGATCTCAGTAAGGGCTGCGTTTCAAATCGCCATCATTCTCGATTAATTGGGCACATGTGGTTGCATGTGTGACCGCAAAAATTCAGGTAAATCCTCTGTTTCTACTTATTTGCGAGAAGCAAATGAATGTAGCTGAACTGCATGGACGATAACAGCAATGAAATGCAGAATCCAACATTCATTAGAGATGAATGCCTTACAGTTTCGATAAAAAGCAAACACGGACTCGGTTTGACACAGTTGGAGGTTGTTCACTTCTAAGTCTGTACTAAAATATACCCATACTTTTAAATAGCCCATTCACAGTGTCTTAAGCCAACCTTGGTTATAAAGACAATAAGCATCGTTTCACTAAGCCTTTCAAACAAAGTTAAAGACGGAACAACTTACTCTCATTATAGCGATCCATTATGGAGTTAGCTGAACTGTAGCCATTTACGGTGTTTTCATCCGGAATTGCCATGCAACCGTCTTTCGTTCTCTTGCGCGCCTAAGCGAAGCAGCGAATAAATAAATACCACACTAACATTAAAAGCTATTTATTCAGAGAGTATTGTGAAATGGGTGATTAGTGCTACCTTATAATCATCCATTGTGAAACGTCAAACTTGGTGCTAATTTGAAGTATTTAAGAAAATGAATCAGTTTAATTAGTGCAAAAGCTTTCATGCCGTTTGTGTTAAGTATTAAGTACAATAAATCTATTCTCTTCAAACTCTCTTCGCCCATTATTGTTTTCGATACTTGGTAGCTGCAACACGTATTAGCATGGTAAAATGTTTCAATCATCGGTTGTGCTTTGGAGTTTTAATCCTACTACTAATTAGAATTACCCGCAATGAAAGTGTGCCTTAAGGATAGACTAAATGGTAACCTAACAATTTCTCGGAAATTACCTACCAGTTCTACTTGTTTCTTCCAATCAATGCAGCTGCAGATGGCACAGCCAACAATCGCTTGGGACAAAAACCCCACAGTGATACCAATCCAAAATCCTATGGATAACAAAGGTGAAATAAGAAGTGATTTTGGCCGTAAGCAGGGAGATTTGGATGTTTAAAAAGCTGGGTAACTGTAACAATATTAAACTATGAGTAAAATAGTCAAAGCTTGACAGGTCCCGTGGAATGGTTTTTTGAATTACTACTTAAAATAAGAAGTTACACCAAAACGAACCACGCATCTGCGGAATCAACATATTATTCAGGTTAACACAAGTGCGTGTCCAGTTACCACGCTTTAGTGGAGGTTTGTGAGCGCAACGCTTTTCTGCGCCTTTTTTCACTCATTGAGCGTAATTCAAATCAAGTAGAACAGATTGTCGTATGCATCGTTGTGTCGTTTTGTACTCGTACCGTAAAAGCAAAAAAGGACAGAAGACACAAGCGCGTTTACGGCTGTCAAGTTTAAGATGCTACTTAATTCCGTTGCTTTCCAGCTGATGTATTGGATGGCTAGTTTCAGCTGGTGACCCCTCAGTTTTGTTTTGTGGCTAAGTTTCCGTAGTTGGGTGCATACGTGACCTGGGTTACTCAAGATCTGATACGCCAGAATTTGGTCACTTTATAGACGGCGATAATATCCTCTGTAAAGTTTTATAGTATTCTGTAGTAGGTGAAATGGATAAGCATAAGAATCCCGATATATTTTTACCAGCCCTTCTTTATGGGGCCATCAGTACAGCCAGAAAGCGTTCTTGCTGGTTTTCCAGGCCGGAATCGCGCACATTCCAGGGGATCTCACATATGCTTTGAGCATTTGAGGAATGAAGGAGTGGTCGAGCTGCACGAATACCCTCCATAACAGACCAAGACATTGGTTTTGCTGTTTATGGACGACTGTAACTACTGCTCCAAAGAGCGGAGGTCGTGTTGTACCAACACCATAAAGTCGTGCTGAAGTGAGGCCTTCTTCAAGATGTGGTCTCTAATCTTATATGCGTTAGTTAGCTAGTTTCATGTGTGTATATAATAACACTAGCCCACGTTGAACGGATTTATGTTTGCCTTTGACTACTTAAATATACGGACTAATGCTCGCTGCACATATCGGGATTGCACTTGCTACAGACCGCCAGTCATAAATCAATGTTATCAGATAAAATGAAGGCGATTTAAATTGAAAACACGCACAAGGTCTGTTCTGAAGAACAAGGATAAGCGCGGCACCTACAATGATTTTTGATAAGCACTGTAGTCCACACTAACGTGTTCAGAAAATGAGCCCAGTATCTAGACCTGCAGCCGCTGCTGAAGAAGGAAGTTTCTGATCTATGCAAGAAAAATGTAGCATTTACCGCATGTGTACAGCTCATATAGAAGCATTGTTATATATAAGGTCGGATGCTTAGACACATCTAGGTGGATGACATGGGAACCGGATCCGATATCCGCGTTTTCTATCCAACTGCCACGCGTAGTCGGTAAACTGGTAGTACACTAGTGGATCCGGATTAAGTAGTATAGTAGTACAATACTTGTATAGGGCTAAAGTCCCTCAAGCTTAACAGGTACCGTAGGATGGTCATGTGAATATTGCAAAATATGGAAAGCTTAATAACAAAAGTGTATTCACACCAATAGACTTACCAAAGTGATCAGAAAAGCTACAAAGTGGCTGTAACTTCAAAAGTAATGTGCAACGACAAGTGCCTTTTCTCTCTACATCTGCCTCGTGAAAATACATTATCCAGCTTTAGCACCAAGTTGCAACCCCTAGGAAAAATAGGTGTGGGTTAATAACCGCGGGTTCCATCGTGTTTTAATAAGCAGATATATGAAGAGGCCAAATGTAAACGTCCTGTGAAAGCAGGAATAGATTGCACGTTCTGGTCCAAACACTGCCATCCCAAATGCGGTAACGTCTCTCGACGGCAGGCGAGAGCGTAGAGCAGTTAGCCAGCTGTCTTTTGGTTTTATGCTGCAAGTTCGACCATACAATTCGGCAAATGTGTGCTACTAATAATCCATAAATAGGACAATTTACTAGTGGATCCGAACAGCTGACAATCCCTAGGTTTGATACACTAAAGGTGAAGGTGCAACAGGAAAGAGTGCCCGGCTCGAACCAAACGATGCGTACGCCACTCGTTTTCCCAGAATAACTCGCGTCAAGTATTTAATTGCCTTCTTCTTATTCCATCTTGGCAGGTCATAAGTTGAAGGCATAAGAGGGACATATTAGTCAAGAATTAAATATGACAGCCACAATCGGCCCTCACTTGGACCATACGACAAATCGGCGCGTGTCAGCCTCTATCCGCAGCAAGAATGGAGCAGTTGAACATCAGTCTCCTACAGCCGCAGACGCATCTGGCGGCTAAACCAGTAGAAACATTAGATATGTAAAGCTAAGTATTTCAACAACTGCAAATGTAACCCGAAATCAAGCAAACAGCCGAGTTCAACGTAGTCCGATTACTCTCACGGCAGCACAAGAGCTGATGCCTGGGAGCAAATCTGTGACCTATTCTACACTGACATACAGGAACCAAGCCTTGGCCCCCGAAGGCGTGGTTTCGTACGCATCGTCTCAGCTGCTTACGCACAAAGTGTAACACAGTCTGTATCATACGCCGAAATACGAGGCGTCAAAATTACCACATATGCGCAAATCGCACCATCAAGAATTCGGACTACAGCCTCCCTCAAAGCGGCCAGCTTTAAACAAGCCCACGAGTTATCAGCAATTGTATGTTCTGACGTCCCTGAATCTATCGTAAACTTCAAAACATGTAACCTGCTTGACGAGAGGTACAGTGGCTTATTGCGCCGCCTAAGATGAGTTCACGCCGAAACGACCTACTTGGAGTACATCGTCCGGAACCCAAACCCACCACACTTCGATAAAGCACGACTCTTGCTACTAACGCTGTAATCCACGGACAAGGTGGAGACTATCCTCATATGGGTCATTCAGCTTTGGATTACACCATGCGGCCTCCGTGTTTTTTGGAAGTGGAGCGATCGCCAGCAAAGAAAACAGAAAACCGAGAAACACTACCAGCTGAAGAAAGAAATATCGGTATTCATTCATGATGTCCTACAGATCCAGGCACCGGATGCACCCGAAGCCCAATTTCACAACCGGTAGTAGTGGTGTAACCTACGTGAAGTGATCTAACGCAACGGTATGATGGCCAAAGCTACTTCAAATCTGTCATAAATAGCAAATTACCAAGGATATGACCCAAAGTGCTGAACGCTGTGCTTCAGTTCAAACGCGTGGCGGAAGTAACAATCGATATGTGGCACGAAGTGTAGCAACAAACACCCGTCAGATATTTGCTTAAAGGTGTTTAACACCAAAGCCAGTTGATGGTGGCAGGACGTAAGCACCGTGGCTTACCAACTACCCCAGCAAAACTTAATTTTGCTTCGTACAGCTTCGGACCAAGAATGACTATAAAAAGAAGGACGACTTGCCCAATGAGCCCGTTAACCAGCACTACATCTCGTGATCTTTCTGTCAGCCGACATGAAGCGGCCCAAAGTCCAATATCAGTAGTTCACCCAAAAAACGATTAAATGCCGACCTCCACAAGATCGTGTGACACACCTCCAAACACACTTCCCACATTCAAAACATTATGCTGTTTTACACTTTGTATAATTCCTTCTCAGCAAGTTTTCTGAGCTTTATCGTTGCCAAGTCTCGAAGCTTTGGAACATAAACATGCTAATTAAAGCTTGATTCAACGACGAAATCACTAATGTCGAGATCGCCTTAATAGGCATGTCCGTTCTACGAAATATTCAACAAACTATGGGAGGCAATGTCATTTTGTGCCATTGCAGTGACATGCCATTTGTGTTCGTTTGTTATCCTGAGACTCACACTATTGCAACGCAGGCATGATGACATATGTTTAGTGGCCATCGTATACCGTCCCCTGACTTTAGGTTTAGAAATTGACAACTGTTTAGCTAATACTTTGAAGACTATTCTAGCACAGTCCTACATTCACGCTCTTCTTGTAGGAGAATTCAGCTGGCATGCTGTCGAATTTCCAGCCACTCACAGTGAGCAGTTTAAAGCCAAAATGCACGTGATATTCCTTAGCCTATCTCTTTATGATCACCTCAATTCTCATACAAGATTAAGCACCGGGCTAACCTAGCCATCCTTGACCTTATGTTTACCGGTGAAGAATGTATGATCCACGCAGAAATCGTGAGCAGCTCTTTGGGACGCAGCGATCATTCGACACTGCTTTTCTAAAACGTCTGCCATACGGAGCATTCCAAACTGGACAACTGAGCAGATTGTATCATAACCATTATGTTCTCCTCACAAGACGTGATTCCGAAATAGCTACCTTACTGCTCCACAAAAGTTCTAGCCAAACCGAAGAAAAAAGCAGAACGCCAATGACCTTGACGAAATAACTTGCTAACCGCCGTCGACAAAACACTGTGCAATTGCCTCGGATCGTGGATGTATTTAAATGTCTCCTACTGACCTTAGACTTCTGGAATTGGAAAGTCAACTACCAAGGTTAGTGGTTCACCAGAGATTTGGCCGACATGCCAAGTGGCTTTTAGTCATATGCAGAAATTATAACATTGCAGAACGTTGGAAATGATGAGATAACCCTTACCTATTGATTAATCGTTAAAATAATGGATTTTCCGGGAAATGTTTACTTTCTTTCGGACACCTTCGCTACTGAGATATCAACCGAAGTATATGATGAAAGACTATAACAAATTTTCAGTATTCGGGACGGTGATTTCCGCCTGTCTGTTTAAATCCTTGGAGAAAGTGCCCGAAAACTGGGTTCCGAAGTCGGTGGTCTGGATTCCTTGCTGGACTGTAAGCAGTCGTCCAGAGCTCCTTCAGCAAGTTGAAGCTTTTCACGGATAAGTCGAACGGGAGATCGGTAGGTCTGGCTTGTTCTGGTTGGCACAGTGTTGGCCGTAACTAGCTTGTATGTAGTGCCCAGATCTGTGCGCGCACGATCATGTCATGAATGACATTTCTGCGCTTGCTTATG